CGCAAATGTTTCGAATCCTTCACATTGCTACGTAATCGACACTACTACATAAAAACGTAATATTTGTTATAGTTCTCTTTATGTAACTGATTAAGATCATTTTAAGTCCAAATCTGCATATTTTGATTTCAGGATTTTTCATGCGTTCCGTGCTCCATCGGGCTGTGTATAAGTGTAGGAATCACGAAGGGTGCATCATGAGCAAGCGCACCAGGAACAGGTGCCAGTACTGCCGTCTGCTTCAATGTCTTAAAGTCGGAATGAACGTCAAAGGTAAATTTTAGCGTTTATTTGTCTACCTAGTATCAAGAACGTATCTGAACTCTGGTACTGCTTTTCGGAATCCATCATACGATCGCGTGAATACGTCAAATCAATGGAAATATCCTGTTGTGGGAAATATTGTTTTTTTCATCAAATGGTAAACATAATGTAAATTGAGAGCTGTTCTTGCAGCTACATATCAAAAGCAATCTGCTATAATTTGCAAAAAGTGAAGGTCGATCTTCCAAGGGTGTTTATGTCCTTCATTTTATGCACTGTCACTTTTTCAAAATCCCTTCACAGGCCTTATAAACGGATTGGGCGTTTGCGAACTCGAACCTCAGTTTGTGAGTACGAATGCCGAAATTTATGACTGTTACGCCGCAGGTGGTGTTTTTGTTCCTTTCTCATCACTTTAGTTTTGCGTGTGCCTGTACATTTGTCAAAAAAAGCGATTTGTTTGTGAAATTTTATAACATTTTTACTCTGACTGAATAACACGAAAACATAACATGTGTGATGGATCTTGGCTACTCACATAATAAAATGGATGGTGGCAATCAAACTGTCATATCCGTGTAAAATTTATATATTTGACCCATTTGTGTTTGATTGACGTAACAAATGTTTTGGATCGGAGGGATAAAATTGTTTTCAAGATATTTTGTTAAAGTAAAGCTAAATTCACAGATATACCACGTTTATTTTTTAAAAATATGCCATATTGCCATTCACTGGCAGTTACAAGGTATAGCAAAAAAAAGGGGGGGGGGCATGGCCAACAGTAAGCTACACCATAGACTGTTTCTCATTAATGTGGAGACATGTACATTAAAAGACAATGCTCTTGTAAAATTCGAAACTGATATATCTGTTACCAGCGCGAAGAATGCAAAATCGACTTTTTCACTGCATCATTACATTAGGGTCAGTCTGATAAAGTTTTAAGTATTGTCCATTTTCGTTGACATAGACTTGCCATCAAATATGATCTTGAGATGAAGTTGGCACAACTTAACAACGGCAACGGCATGCTTGTAAAATTGATAAAAATGTCATGACCTGGTCATTTTCTTTCAAAGATTAACTTGAACTTTTGACCGTCTTGGATAAAAAAAGTCGGAAATAACTTTTACAGTGTAGATAATTTGCGATGAAGTCAAGGTTTTAATGAATAAAAAAGTCTTCCATTATTATGTGATTTTTAATGATAAGTGCCTATTATAACATCACCGTAGCGCTAAATTCAAAATCCAATCTTCTTCGCGCTCTAACAGAGAACTTGTAGTCTCTCTTTCTATCTAGTGCATATTTCGACCTTGAACATGATTACATCTTTCTGAATTCTGAAATATGGCCAGCAATAACACACCCACTACCATGCACTTTAGGGTTAAACATTCCCTAAAGTTATGCCCGTGGATTAAAAAAAAACAGGGTTTTTAAAACCCGGTCAAGATTCTTTTAGAATTTAGACAAACCTTGTTCAAAATGCCCTTAAAGTTGTAAACTGTCAGCCCGTCCAGATTAAAAATTTGGTTATTGGCTTACCGTTTTTGAATAATTTAAAATTCAAATATTGATCCGTGTTTTTATCAAAAATCTTTCTATCTATTCAGCCATCCGAGAAGACCGGATGCCAGGAGGTAGGACAAGACACACAGGGGCAGTGAAGGTATATATCAGTCCCATATCAAAGCCTGTAGACATACAACTTTAGAGGCGGAATTATTATTAATATTATATTTTATTATTATTATCATTATGCCATAGTCCAAATCGAAATGTTTNTATCAGTCCCATATCAAAGCCTGTAGACATACAACTTTAGAGGCGGAATTATTATTAATATTATATTTTATTATTATTATCATTATGCCATAGTCCAAATCGAAATGTTTACACACGTGCCTTTCATAAATAAAGATCAGTCTAATACACTGTTTCTTTGGTTTGTCATTTTTACGTTAAAGGGCCAAGGGCGCCTTTCACTGTCTTTATTATCATGTTGAAGATTTTTTTCATCATTTTCAGTATTCCTCAGAATGTATATCTCGCATCTTAAAGGGTGACTACTCTGATCCAGGTGATAGCGGCATATTTGCGCCCAGTGGGTACTTTCCCTTGTCACCTCACGTTATGGAGCCGCACGTAAGTTTGGAACCGCCTGTATCCTAAGTTCCTTCACTTTCCACTTTATGGCCTTTACGTACGTCATTTAGTAACAATCACAACTGCCTTTAAATGTCGCCTCTGACCGTGAACGTTTTCAACAACTACATTCATTTCCAAACCACCCCGTTAATATTAAGATCACTAAAAGCACAAAGTTTTATCCATTTTTGAAACCATATAAATAGGTGTGTCAGCAATTTCACACAAAGTATAGCATATATGTCTGTTACAGCTTTCAAGGTTCCCCAGGATTGGCCCATCATCAGTGTTTTGCTCTGGGATTCCCCGTCATTGTATACCGTGCACGCCACCAGCCCTATGGAATCACCCTGGTCTATGGACATACAGTCGCCCCTGGCTTGACCCCATGCACCCCGGACAGATACCCGACATCAGTCGCTTCAGTGCCGCTGGCCAACCATGGTCGCTGCTGGCGCCCTCTTCACTTGGGGAAACGCATCTCCCGCCTTATGGACATAGAGTGTTGCTGGATGCAGAAAAGGCAACGCTGGCTGCAATGGAATTTGAAAAGAGACGTTTAACAGATGCCAGGGATAGGTGCAGGAACCTTCACATGCTCTCCGAGTTATCTCGACAGCGTGACAGCCACCTGAAGGATGCAGTGACAATTAAAAAAGAACCCGAGTGCGTTCAAGATTCACAGTGTGGCGTTTCCAACGTAGATGATGAACAAGAACATAAACAGACTGTGTTGAGGTTTTCAGAGATCATAGTTTCATTGTGTAACGTTCACTCGGAGTGGATCAAACGACAGCCCATTCTTGACAAACTGACCTCAGAGGAGGTAGCCATTTTGACAACCAAGTCTTTCTTTTCTGTGACAATAATAACGGCGCTGATCTCTGGCGAAAAATATTTCCTTTCCCGACTGGCTCAGCTGTTGCAAACCTATGTTATTCCAACGAGATACCAGACCCAGGAGTCCAGAATGTTTTGCAAAAAACTGCTGACTCTCTGCAAACATCTACTGGATTTGAGGCTTTCCTCTGAAGAATGGGCGGTCCTGAAGAGCTTTTGCTTCTTAAGGCAAAGTAAGTACTGGTATAAATAAGTCGATATGTTTCACACCCCAAACGAGGAAGCACGTTTGCTTCACCCTAAGTGGCGAAAAGTACCGCAAAAGCGCACCCAATCGAGGTCCTAAAACAATACGCCGGTTTTGTCTAAAGTAGCAGCAACCGATAAATGCTTTACTTTTTTTCGTCCATGATTCTAGTAATATCAGTATTAGATCTAAATAATTCACATATTGTATCATATCATATCACATTATATATTTTCAGACATCCTTATATCGCATCACCTGACGGAGACCGAGCGTTTAGCCAATCATTTCACCCAAGTCCTTCACTACCTGTCCAGTTCGGTCACTCTTCAGCCGGCCACACGTGTACAAGCCATGCTGGACGTCCTCGAGCCACTGAAGGTGGTCGGAGAAAACCTCAGTGAATATCCTCTGGAACAACTGCCGTCGATCTTCAAACAGCTTCTGTTACATCCGGTAGAGGATGCCAAATGAGGCGATGAAGTATTGGGATGTTGCCAGGCCATTCAGTTTAAAACATCCATTCTGCGTCACATGACAGGAGAACGAGCTCTATGTTTATATACGCGAGACTCCAATAAATGAAAGGGTATGAGATCCCACGGATTGTATATACATGACGTAATAGCACGTCTCCAAACGACCGCTCTATACTAAAATAACAATTAAGGACATTTTGAAATGACTGGAATGGCCATTTGTTGGCATCTATATGATTCTGTAAGTGACGACAAACTTTGATATCAGTTTGGCAGTGAACGCAAGTGTGAAATGGCTATCCTTTGATACTATAAGTACAAGCTTTTCGTTACAAACTACTTGCGGGCCCTGTAGTCAGACAGTCATTTAGTGGCTCGGTGTTTTTAATCTACTTTGTTGCGAACGTTAGCATCCGAGACCTCCTTTAGAATAACACCATTTTATTTGTCGGGTGTCTGAAAAAGTTTGACAGGTGAACCCATGATAAATGAAACCAAGTAAAAATGTAAAGATGGTATTTAAGAAATACTTTGTTATTGCCGTAAAACCATGGATATTCTTACATCAAGATCCCCGAAAAAACATTATGTATGTATGTACGTATGTAAATAATTGTAATGAATTATAATAATAAAAATTATAACAATAAATTACAAACCTTAGTATAGTAAGTAAATGGAAAAAAATAAAGGTATGTGCTAGTGTAATGCACAATGCCCGTGCAGTTGTGTTTCGGGGTTTGGGCTGGTTTTTGGTGTTGAGAAGCAATAAACTGATCCATTTTAAAGACGGTTTCTTTTTCTCTTTAATTTTGTGTAAAAAAAATATATACATTTTTTTGACAAGGTGAACAACTGCACATTGTTTTATGTGTAATAAAAATATTAAATCAATTAACATGGTGAATAATAATCGAGAGGCCATGTTGGAATTATCTTTTTGTCTCTAATTGGCAATACATGTAGATCTTGAAGATAATCACTCTTCATGGTAAGAACTGCCTTATTGTCCCGTTCTGTCCATTTGTCTTCCCATACTGACTCAACACCACAGTGGTAACTGTCCGCTTGTCATGCAGTTTTACTTTCGGTTCGCTTTCTGAAGTTTCCACCGCATAGCACTCTTCTGTCACAACCACGCATTTCTTGCGTAGCACCACCCCGCCAAATGAATAAAAAATGGACGATTGGTAACTGTTTGTTGACTTTGTATTAGGAATTATTATAGATGATGAAAACCTCTCGGGTTCTAAGGTTATTAGGTGTTCAATGGTGCTTTTAAACCATTGATATTTGTCAAATTTCAAGGATTTTTCCGAGTTTCTATATAACGTGATCTCGCTGTTGTGAGATTTGGTTCTAAGTGCTGGACGAAGATACAAATGTTCAATATATGTCAATGGATTCAAATCAGGATCCTTATTGTCGGGTTCATCATGGAATATATTATTGTTTTCAGTTGCTTGTGCTTTTTTCACTTCGTGGGTCTTTGATTCCCACTTGTAAGGGACATACAATTCGGATGAATGACTGCGTACGTCCATTCCCAATTCCCTCATTTTTTCAGCCTGTGTCCTGTAAAAAGAACACGATCTATCATTGACTCAATTATTATGTAAAATGATATGGTGGCCTGCATTTCAATCCCCCGTGTTGCATGTTTTGCTTCATTTACTGAAAAAATAATGAGGTGATAATGATTCAAATAAATGCATAACCACATGGTGGCCAGCAGAACAATAGTGTTGAAAATCAGCGAATCCCCGTTTTGGCTATCCTCTGGTATCAGAGGCATCTACAACAGTATAGGCCTACAAGATTAAAGTATATGAGCTATAATAATTTTGTAACAGACTACTAGCCAAAGTGTACGTTTTGGAATTATCATGTCATTAACTACACACACTGGACAAAAGAAGTGTCACCCCTACTGAGCCAATACTATGGGGGAGGTAAATGACTGTGGAATGATATGCTCCTGGTATCATTTTATTAACATCAAATTTCACAAAAAATCACAAAATGAGAACAAAATATACATTCTACCAAAATATGTAGTTTCAAGTCCAAAATTAGTACTTGGTGGCATAGCCACTTGACCTAATAANAAAAAATCTGAATGTGTGATAATAATCCTGATATCCTGAATCTACCGTAATAAAGATACACACACTGGACAAAAGAAGTGTCACCCCTACTGAGCCAATACTATGGGGGAGATAAATGACTGTGGAATGATATGCTCCTGGTATCATTTTATTAACATTAAATTTCACAAAAAATCACAAAATGAGAACAAAATATACATTCTACCAAAATATGCAGTTTTAAGTCCAAAATTAGTACTAAGTGGCATAGCCACGTGACCTAATAATAGGTGCCAGTATACGAGGCAAGGATTCATATAATTATCTGATGCGTTCAGGGCTTATGCTGGCCCAAGAATGAAACACTGAATATAATGAGTTTATCTGCTGGTTAGACGGGCATTTGTAAAAAGTTTTGACACATCATTCCACAGATTTTCTATTATGTTTGCATCCGGACTCTGGGCAGGCCACATCACCCTGCGAATGTCCTGTTGTTCAAACCAATCGCCAACTGCTCTGGGCCTGTGACAAGGAGCGTTGTCATCCTGGTGAAGAAACGGATAATTCCTGTCACCAAACATGTTAGTAATAGATGGTAGCAAGCCTGACTCCAAAACATCGATATATTTCTAGTGATTAATGTTTCTATCAACCACTATCAATTCGCCCAAGCCATGGTTGCTGATGCAGCCCCACACCATGATGAATATGCTGCTCAGAGTACGAAAATTCAGTGCATGTAGTTCAAATACTTTACCAGCAGTTTGCCAGCATCGTACCCGTCTGTCATCAGAGGTCAGACCATAGCGACACTCATCAGAAAAAACATATAGGACCAATTGTCATGGACTGTCCAGTTCCAGATTCTGTTGACCCTAGTTCACTCTACGTTGCCTGTTTTGTAACGATTTAAGAGGTTTCAGGCTTGCTACCCTGCTGTACACTCTATGAGCATGTAACCAACGCCTAGCAATTTTCACAGACACATTCTTATGTGTGAAATTGTTCCACTGTGTTGTTAACTGACAAGCAATGTCGAACTTTGACAACCTGGGCATCAAAATCAGTCGTCGGTCTTCACGGCCAGTAGTTTATCTTGGAAGACCCATTAGAGGCAATTTGTCTCTTGATCCAGTGTTTTTATACCGAGACCAGACCCTCTGCACGGTTCTGACTGAACAATTCAATTGTATCGATATTGTGACATTGCTTATATTCCGCCTCTTCAGGTTAATAACTTGCACCTATAACCGTTAGATAATAGAGGTTGTCCGGGTTCTCAACGAGAAGACCACATTTCCCCGTGATTTTACGAGATCTGCCTTGAGGTGGGGTTAAAATATGGAGACCACAAGGAAGTAGAGCAGCGATTTCTTTACTTGAAAAATAGCTGAACTTCCAAAATTTTTGAGCTACAGGCTTGTTCTTTTTTCACTTTATAAAGAAAAAGTATTGATATAATATGTACGTACAACTGACGTGAGATTCATTTGCAACCTTTTTGTCACTTTATGGGAGTGGCATGACTGTTTTGCTTTCAATGAGATCAATGTTGAAAGTAGGTCCATGTACATTCTACAAGCATTGGACATTTGTAAATTTGTAAAAAAAATCATAATTACTAAATTTAAATTTTGAACAACAAAAGCTTCATAACTCCAACTTATTTTTCTTTATAAATGTTTTACTATTAAACTTTATTTTTAAAGAAGTAAAATAAAATCATTTGACATTTCATTTACTGATGGATTGCATATCAGAACATAAGACTTGCCTGCATCTTTGATTTAATTTCACTAAATTTATAGTAACTAGTTCAAAAAGCTCAAATTTGATCATAAAGTTAATTTTCTTCATTTATTTACTTATGAAAATGATGCTATAGAACTAGTGGATAGCATTCACAAAATGTAGGTTTTATTGTGATCAGATCTGACTTAAATCTGACAGGAAAGATGGCAGAAGAAAGTATTAAAATGGACAACATATAAGTTGAAATGTTCACAGAATCATTGCATTTTATTGACAGTTATACACAAATACAACAAATAAACACAACACCAAAGGCGAACTTGTATTTGTGATCCGAGTAAATGATATGAAAAACAGGTGTCATATAGTTATTAAAAAAGTCACTACAGTATAGTAATGATACTAGCAAAAACAATTATTTTCTTCATTAAATTACTAGTGCAGTACAATACATAGGCATATATATATATATATATATATATATATATATATATATATATATATATTCATAAAACCAAATATTTCATTTTAAAGTAATAAAGAAAATGCCTGATACTGTACAATGTAAGTGACACCCAGGCAAAAATGCCATCTGTTGATTCCTGATATAATTTTAGTCAACAACATTATAACTAAGGACATAAGAGATTAATATACACTGAGCAATCTTCAACATCTGATTATCCTGACCACATGACTCTCACAGTTCTTGCCTGGTTCAACAACATGTGCTGTCTGTCATGCTCTAAAATAAAAAATAATTATCTCACTTAGTTTTCTGAAATATATATCATTATGTGATAAACGTTGTTGTAAAATACCAACTCTAATTTCTCTCTTACTTGCAATTATCATAAGTGACCATCCGGCATGGAATGTTACAAACGCAACCGAACATTGTGTATACTAATAGGTGTGGAAGGTTCACCAGTATTTCATAATCAGGTACACGTTATATGGAGACAGGAATGGTATAAGCAAATTTGTCTGACATAGTTACCAGGCCCGTAGCCAGGGGGGGGGAGTTCGGGGGGTTCGATAGAAACCCCCTTTTTGCTGGGAAAAGATCCACTCTGGGTACAATTTGATCTATGTACTTGAGGATTTTATGGTAAAAGGTCCACTTTTTCAGAAAACGACCCCCCCCCCTCTAAAATTGCTGGCTACGGGCCTGGTTACCGTAAAAGACTATTAATCACAAGTACTAGGGCTGTATTACATTAATAAACCATGGTGTCCTGTAAACTACACACACAAAACTTACTTATTAATATGTCCCTCGACCGTTGATGATACTGTCTATACGGTGATGTCATGAAGCCAGTGACGTGTCGGGTGCTAGTTGTCTGCAGTTGGTCCCCTTCATCCTACAAAATACTGCGACCTGATCTGTACTTTAAATATGTCGGCACTTAGTCCTTTTAATCTGTTCAAGCCCAACTACTTCTCTTTCTTTACTTCACTTCTCTCGCCAGTCGTGTCCGTCATCCACGGTCATTTTCCTGGTTTTCTCGGTTAGGTTTTACTGCAATGAACCCTACGACACAACATTAGCAATTCGCCATTGCGTTGCTCTATCTCAAATTACATGACAACGCCAAATTTTACTCAATGCAGTCCTATAACATAGACTTGTGCCCAACCGCGAGAGAAGTTTCAATGGCAGATTTTAACCCCACCTCTCGTGAAATCTCGCTCCAATCCAGGTCTCGTTTGACGTCATCTGCTGCGCAGATGTTCAAAATAGGCTATCTCGGATGTACCCTATTCATCTTTTGATTTGTTATATTTCAGACCAAGGCGTCGTACAAGAAGTACATCATTGTTGCTGTTGCTGTCATTGTTGTTGTTGCTGTTGCTGTCGGTGGAACTTTGGGAGCAGTTCACATCTCTAACAAGACAGCACAAGACGTGTGGAAGGTAGTTATACTGTATCACTAAAAAGAGAGTGATTATTATTATTATTATCATTAAAAATATTTTTTGCTAATTGTCATTTATGACACAGGATGTGTTGAAGGTAGGTATACTGTATCACTACAAATAATAATAATAATAATAATAATAATAATAACAATAATAACAGAATATTTGGGAATTCTGCTTATTATAATTTATGACACATACAGATCACTTTAGTAAAAGCTTAAATTTATTAAAAACCCTCGAACGCGCATAAAATATCTCAATTGCAAAACGTATCTATCTGGTTTTAAAGGAAATTGGTGGAATTATATGCAAAGCAGTGAGCAATCAAAACTAACGATCTTATCACCATCATCACCTTATGTAATTATTATTATTTCTTCAGGAGTACAATCTCCGTTTAACCGACAAGCAAGGGAAGAAAGTTGACGAAAAGGTTCAGGTTGATCTGAAGGACAACATCACCGTGTACAACGTGAACAACGAGAAGTTCCACGTAGCCATGGACAACTCGAGGGTAAGTAGAGGCGATCTAACTTTATTGTGAAAATTGTTTATCAAAGGAGGATTATTTTGCTTATACTTTGTCAGAATGCAAACAATGTTAAGTACCTAGAAGCTAAGATCTGTAGAATTTACTGGATTCAATGCGGTAACATGTTTACATTTATGTGTCACTACCTTTGAATTTTGATGTGTTTCATATGTCAGAGAATTAATTTTCTTGGATATGTTTATATTCCATCAATACCTCTTTTTATCAATTTTTTCAGCAAAAAAAAAAAAAAAAATAAATAAATAAAATAAAATAAAATAAAATAAAATAAATAATAATTATAATTATAATAAAATCCAAATATTCTTTGAGAATATCCCATTATTTTAAACAAAAGTGAATAACTCCGATTGTTTCCTTTTAGGGTCTGGTAGTATACAAGATGGAAATGAATAACAAGTTTGCTTGTTACTTGACTCCAATGAAAAAATCTGAAGAGACTGACAGCAAGGACGTGGCCAACGCTTTAGAACAACCGGTACGATTTACTTCATATTAATTCGAACTTTGAATCTGTGTTTACATCTTTACATACACTTTACTTTTGATTGTGTTTAAATATATAAAGTGGCATTTAAACATGTGCAAGATAAGATTTAAACCTAAGCCTAACCTATACCATCATGCTTTTTAGAACACCGTCGAAAATACGACATCAGATGACGATAATGAACAAAAACAATTCGTTGCCAACACCTCCCCGATCAAGGACAAGTCCTTCCTAAGTCCCAGAATGCAGGAATTCTGCAGAGATCTGGAGGCATACTGGCTCACTCAGAAGGACGGCAACACTGTAGATGGCGCCAGCACCCAAACCCCGGCAGGTACGCACAGTATAAGTCTCTGTAATGTTTACCATAACGCGATTCAATACCTACAACAGTAAAGATGTAGGTAAATACACTTATAACTCTGTATATAGAATGTAAAGGACATTAAATTCTATTCCATTTTATTTTATTTCAGGAGGTATTCGCCAAAAGCGAGCTTGCGTTTGGTACCCTTGCATAAGGATTCAACGCATTTGCTATAGGATCGGTTCTCGTATTGTTTGTTTTTATAGAGTCACTCGTGGTTACTGTAAGAGATGCTACTAGCTGGGGTTAATAAGCTTCGTTGTGATATGTTCGTTTATCACAAGAATTAGTGCGCAGTGTTATTAAATAATCAAGTGACTTTAAAAAAATCCACGTGTGTATTCAAGAATATATCAGAACCATAACAACAGTGCAGATTACTTATCCTAGATTGCTGTAAGTTATGCATCGTTCAGTAAGGATTCTAATTATTGTTTTTCTTTATATTCGAAATATGAGTAAAGGAGTTGGACGGACAGGTATTGACATTTGGTAAGGTGTAGTATTTTATGGAATTTTTTATGTATGTTAATGATGTTGAAATGGGCGGAAAAAAAAAGACTTTTCATTCTCTCTGAAATTATGTTTAAATGGTAAATCATATAAAGTATAATAGGACCACATGGTACAAATACAGAATGTTTTTTTTTTTAGAAAATTTCTTCCGAAGTTCTTAATCAGCTTCCCTGTTTTGTTTTTAATAAGGCTCACGTGAGCATTTTTGTATGTTAACTGTTATCACGACAACAGTGAAATCATTATCTCATTATCCTAGATCATTACAAGTGATGCATATTTAATTGACGCTTTTCTCTTGTCGTTTGCTTTATTTTTAAAAAGTAAATAAAAGACTTAAGAAAGCACTTCCTTTTTGCTAAGGTAGTACCAAAGTTTATGGAGAAATCGGTGATATAGGTTTTCTGTCGTCTCCATTGTGGAAGCGCATCCCTCAGAGTGGAAAACGGGCGTTATTATTATACATCACTGAATGAGTGATTATGCATACATTGTACTTAAAATGAAGAAGAGAGCGAGAAACATTTTAATTGTACTTTCACAGGTTTGAGTCTCTTGCAACCCTTATAGTGGGGTGGGTTTAATTTTTAAACATGAAACGTTAATAAAATCATCATCATCATTTTATTATTCTTATTGTTATTATCTCCTGTATTATATGTATGATGGCCCCGTTTTGCTATTACAGATATTATTATGGTTGGTGTTACAGATGTCACTGGGGTAAATAAAAGTCGGGGCAAAATGTTCAGTTGTCACTCTTTACTTCAACCAAGAAAAGGAAGCGTGTGGCTTATATCGCACACGCACACAAACACACGCAAAAACGCAGGTGCATATATATATATATATATATATTTGAAATTAATAAATAAATTTAAAAAAACGAGACAATGTAATAACCCCGACTCCGAGTTTCACGGGCACACCCAGAAGGTATGCCCGATCGTCAGGAGGTTTATTTGAAAATTGTTTTTTATATTAGCCGTTTATGTACACGGCGTGTACGTTGCACTCCATGTTAGTTACGTCACCTTATGCCGACATATGGTAATTATATCAGTTCTTTTATTTAGAGTATCTGTTGTATTATCATTATTAATAGTTTTTCGTATATATATATATATATATATATATGTGTGTGTGTGTGTGTGTGTGTGTGTGTGTGTGTGTGTGTTTGTGTGTGTGTGTCTTTGCATTCTCTTTCTTTACACCTTACATCGTTTACTACGTTTGAAAACTTTTTTTTTAGTTATTATGACCTTCGCATTGACTAATTGGTTTCTAAGGGTAGAGAATGGTTTATGAACTGTAACTTTTTTCTTTAATTTGTCAGACAGATTCTTTATGTATTGGAGGGTTACACGTGTTTCATTATTGTTACTATCAACCCTCCCCTGCCTTTATCCTAGTCCTTGGTTGTTTGTTATGGTTTATGAAAGGACCAGTCTGGGCAGCGGGTCCCCCCAGTGCTTTAGATATAAAAAAGTTTGTTATACAGAATTTGAATTGCAATTGGACACCTCAGCGCTAAAAAAGATTAATGCACATTTTAACATGATAAAACATGATAACTTCAGGATACACTGTACCCTTCACATAACCGCCTAATACATATTACTCATCACGTTTTGCTCTACTTCATAACGTTCAAATTGTTAATTTGTCATTGTTAAATCTTAATATAGATTGTTGCGCCCTGCATAAACAATCTCGCGGACGAAACAAGGTCAAGATCGCAAAATATGGCTTACGATGCACATGTTGAACGTGTTATTTAAGGCAAGGAACAAGTTTAAAGGGTTTTCAAAGAGGACGAACGAAGCGACACGTACAGAATCACGGAGAACAGAATCACGACACCTCACATGTACATGCTCAAAGAAAGTAGGAAAAAGACAAAATTTCATGTCAGCAGTCAAGGTTATTTGTGTCATGTTTCACAAGTTTGTGTACTGTAAGAGGCTACAAGTTCATTTAAACTGTTACAAGTTCAAGAGGTTATACAAGTCTAGTAATTAGCTAGCTAATGTATATTATTGCTTATTTCTTGAGTTAATTTTGTTCTTTAAAGTTTTGTAATGCACTTATGAAAATTGAATTAATAAGAGTGATATTCAATCATTATATAAGTACATGTAGGTCATATAAAGAAAATAAAGCATAGATGTTTAAGTATCTCATAAGAAACAAGATAAGAACATGTCTTTTTCAAACTTTATTTGTGTAGTTATAGTTAACATTATTTTCATTGTTATTATTACAGAATGTATATATTGTGGTGATTCAATAAAAGTCTCAAGAGACGAGGCGTTTGTCAAGATATTGGGCACTACAACCATTGTGAAAGCCATGGAGATGATGTATATCAATGGGTATGTGTCAAAGCATAATAAAGTATCTAGTCCGTTCACTATTCCATTATCTTTTGTGAAAGTGTATTGTAAATGACCTCTGACACCCATAAGATACTATCTAGTCCGTTATCTTTTGTGGATGGAATCTTGTTAGATATATTCACCACGGTAAGTAAAGGCCGTTAATTAAAATTAACGAAATACCTAATCACTAACATGTAAGCTTCCGTATATGTAATTAACGTTTCGCTTTTGTGCAAATAGTTGTCTTTGAACTTGGAGTACAAAGGGTTATAACCCTAAGTGTATAGGGGAAAATAGTCAAAAAATCAATTGTCGGATACCTTTTTTTTTTTTTGCTGTATTGTGTCAATGGCAATTTAACTTGTTTCTTGTGGCTAAGGCCGTTAGCCCGTTTTTTTCTATATTTTGACCTATACTACATAGATTAAATTCAGATTTAACCAGATAAGCAGTATCGATTTTTGTAAAGAGCCAAAGGATAAACACCTTGATAGTCATTTGTTTATTATATACTCAAAGAAACTGACTCATAACAACGAGAAAGAATACATTTTGTTAACAATGTCATGACATCATATTTTGGAATTGGTCATTTTTGCCTGCCTTGGACTAGCTTCCCTTAAGTGACTTTAAAAGAGAAACTGCCTAAAAGTAAATATTCTTAAAAGTTGGTCAATTCGGAAAAGCCATAACATGGCGTTATCCATAGGGGAATTTGAAACCAAAACCTAAGGCCCTTGCATAATTTTCATAAATCTTTTCATAAATCTTGTGCTGTTTCGGACACCCTGCTGCTTTCAACTCGTCCAGCAGGAATACCCCATAAGTCAAGAAACTTGCTGATATTCACATATTGTGTAGTTATTACAGGGACTAGGAAAAAAACGACCAGAAATGAATAAAAAAGACATTTAATAAATGTATCTCATCAATAAAGTGCCACTCCTTAGGTAATTTAAATCTCTATCAAATCTTCAAAAAGGAGGAGAAAATGCCTTCCACGAAAACTGAAGTAAGATGTTTGTGGTTCAATTTAACACGCAAAAAAATAAATAAATAAATAAATAAATAAATAAATAAATAAATAAATAAATAAATAAATAAAAATAAAAAAATAAAAAGACTGCCAAAGAGCCAAGCAGTCATGTGAACAAGCCGCTGTGATGAAGGGTTGAAAGTAACACCTCATACGTCGAAAACACATTTTATCTCTTTTGAAATCGTGATTTTTTAACTACCATTTCGAGAAAAACTGTGAACAGCCTATTTCACCGAATTCTAACATCATTGATTGATATATATGTTTTTTATAAATAAATAAAAGCCATTAAAAAAACAATGACAACTTAGCAAAAGGTCAGGTAGTGTCTTTTATTCATCTTTCGAATTCAAAGCTAATAACAAGGCAAAGGAAGCACAAATAAAAGGTGTATAACTAACAATAACCTATGAAAACAATTTTAATGTTGCCGACATTAGAGTTAACATACAAAAATGCACAAATGGAATTTATTAATAACAAAACAGGGGCCCTGATTAAGAACTGTGGAAGGGATTTTCTTAAACACCATTCTGTACTAGAACCATGTGGCCCTCATATCCTAAATATGATTTACTATTTATCCGTCAGAGACCATGAAAAACCTTTTACGCCTTATTTTTGGCATCTTTGTTTTTTGATTACGTAAAACGATGCAAAAAAAAAAAGTCACCAAAAAAGTCAGACATTGCTTAATCTATTTGATTACAAACAAATAGTAATAGAGCCATTGCTAATAGAACAATAACTAAATGATGCATAACTTATCATTAGCTGGGATAATGATTTCACTGTTGTTGTTATGACAGTTTACACACACAAAAAATGCATACATGGGTATTATTGAAAAAAAAAACTGGGAGTGGCTGATTGAGAATTTTGGAGGGGATTTTTTCTGAAACCTCACTCTGTACTGGTACCATGTGGCTCCTATATCATAAATACTCATGTAACAGTGGATAAACCCTGTTTCATTTAGATTTCTGAAATATTCTTGGATAGACATGGCCGCGGGAAGTTGACTAAAGTTGACTAATCACGCTTTGCAAAAATCTTTGTGTTAAACATATATTTAGCAGCAGCGTTTATTTACCAGAGCATATGTACCTCCAACAGGGTCTGTATATACACGTAGTACCGCAATTCCACTGAAAACCGATCCTGGTCCTAATGCATGTGCTTATTCTATACGGGCATATGGAACGTATTCGGTAGCAAGCTCGCTTTTGGCGTTTACCTCCTATAATATAATATAATAAAATATAATATAATATAATATAATATAATATAATATAATCGAAACGATGGGTAATGTTAATGTTCCTAATGTCTTGTAGATTCTACATGTACGTAGAAAGTAAAAAGTAAATTTACTGCATGGTCATAGTTGTACGTATTGAATCAGGAAATGATTAACATTTCAGAGATTTATATTTTGCGTACCTGCCGCGGTTTGGGTGCTGGCTACAGTGTTGCCGTCCTTCTGAGTAAGCCAGTATGCCTCCAGATTCCTGCAGAATTCCTTCATCCTGGAACTTAGGAAGGACTTGTCCTTGATCGGGGAGGTGTTGGCGACGAATTGTTTTTGTTCATTATCTTCATCTGATGTCGTATTTTCGACGGTGTTCTAAAAGCATGATGGTATAGGTTAGATTACGGTTTTATTCATATCCTGTACATGTTTAAATGCCACTTTATATATTTAAACACAATTAAAATAATGTGTATGTGAAGATGTAAACACAGATTCAAAGTCCAAATTAATATGAAGTAAATCGCACCGGTTGTTCCAAAGCGTTGGCCACGTCCTTGCTGTCAGTCTCTTCAGATTTGTTCATTGGAGTCAAGTAACAAGCAAACTTGTCATTCATTTCCATCTTGTATACTACCAGACCCTGAAAGGAATGGGATATTCCCACAGAATATTTTAGCCGACAAACTAACTTTATTGGCATTCAAAACACATAAAAATTGAAAGGTAGTAAAAGGTAGTATAAGTAAAATATTCCGCCTTTGATTAGCAATTTCCACAATAACGTTAAAACCCCCTCTACCCACCCTCGAGTTGTCCATGGCAACGTGGAACATCTCGTTGTTCACGTTGTACACGGTGATGTTGTCCTTCAGATCAACCTGAACCTTTTCGTCAACTTTCTTCCCTTGTTTGTCGGTTAAACGGAGATGGTACTCCTGAATAAATAATAATTATCACATTAGATGATGATGGCGATGAGATCGTTAGTTTTAATTGCTCACATTTCTTTGCATATTATTCCACCGCTTTCCTTTAAAACCAGATCGATGCGTATTGGAAGTGAGATATTTCATTCGCGTGCTAAATTTAAGCTTCTTCTAAAGTGATCTGTTTGTGTCATAAATGTAAATTAGCATAATTCCCAAATATTCTATTGTTATTATTATTTTTATTATTATTATTATTATTATTATTATTATTATTATTATTAGTGATACCGTATACCCACCTTCCACACATCTTGTGCTGCCTTGTTAGAGATGTGAACTGCTCCCAACGTTCCACCGACAGCAACAGCAACAACAACAATGAGAGCAACAGCAACAATTATGTACTTCTTGTACGAGGCCTTGGTCTGAAATATAACAAATTAAAAGATAAATTGGAACAAAAATAAAGTTGGAATATTATTGTTTATCTCATCGCCAACTGTTTTTAAAAGAAATTGATGCAACTATTTAAAAATATAATTTTATGAAAATTTTGAAAACGGTGCAAATAATTGCAACAACTTATATTTTGCATTGAAAGTCTGGGCGACAGACAAAAAATGGCAATCTGACAATGGGATTGAGTCAGAATTTCCTCGTCTTTGTATCCATTATCATAAAAAATTACTTTATCGAAGGCAATCTAATTTTATTGTTTATCTATACTTGCAAAAATTACTAATTACATTCACCATTGCCAGCATGATAATTTTGCTAAAACATGAAAACTCCATACTAAAATATGTGTGAAAAAAAAAAAAATGAAAAAACGCTGAATATTCACAACAAAAGCAAAGTGACTGACGCGACTCAACTGTTCACTTGTTTGTGGAATGACCCAAGTTAGAGAAAAAATTCCTAGCCTAAACATCTTCAAAGTAGACGCATTTACCTCAGCGCCGTCACGTCCAGAGGACCCACCGTCTGTGATGACAGTCACTCCTGGCTCGGCAGACTTTTCACTGACAGTTGGCAGCATCTTGAAAGTATATCAAAATTGTTGTATCAGAGAGCAGCACTCAAGGCTTTACTTTTTCCGACCGATCGAGTTCGCCGTCTGCTTCGAGCTGGGCGTACCCTCTTATTTTAGCTGACATCATGGAGGGAGATCTTTGACAAACAGGTTTCCGATTCCAAAGAAAAAACACTGTCACGCGCTTTCATATGTTGATGTGGTGGGAAAGTTTTCGACAACCAGGAAAAAATTGTTAAAAACCCTAAGCATTTTTTTAAGTATCTGATCAATGGTTGGGTGATTTTAATAAGTATTCACACGATACAAAAGGTGAAATAAACCAAATTCAAGGCACAAAAGTGATCTTTGACAAACAAGTTTTCCATACAAAAGACGGAGCAATGTCTGCCAAGTTCATAGGCAGAAATAAAAAGCGTTTTCATATGTTNCGTAAGTATTTTTTGAAGTATCTGACTAATCGTTAGGTTATTTGAACAACACAATACAAAACGTGTAAAATTCATTTCGAGAAAACTAGAAAAAATGTTTTAGTTAATTTGCTCTTGACGCCGATGCCAAATATATATTTAGCAAATAATCTGCTCTTTTACACGTGTTAATTGGGGGTCTATCAAACCACTCAAGTGCCAAAAGGAAAATGATGCAAGTCCGTGGACATTAAAAAAGGAGGAGCTGAGGTTAAAGGCAACGAAAAGTTGCAGTGACTTTCCGTGAAGAGAGAGAGAGAGAGATTTGATAGTTACACTTTTTAAAATTTATAGACTGATTATGTAACTTATCTCCTTGTCCTTTTATGCACATGTAAGCCCTGTACCTTCAATCTTATGGTAAGAGTCATATGTATTGGGCGTTGGTCAGTTCTTCTGTTACACCCCAAATAACGTTATCTACGTTATGTGTTAGACACTTATATAACACGGTAGTGTTATACAATTTGTCTCTGCCTTTAAATCACATTTTCAATCACGGAAGAGAAACCAAAATTAGAAACAAAAATCTCAGTAGAGTAATTTATTTAAGTAATTGAAGATACACCCCTTTCAGATGACAGAAAATGGAAACCCGGTGCCGACTCTAAAATTGTAGAAATACTTTGGCCTCATTATAGTCATTTCGCTCTTTTGATCTCTTCCACCAAAAACAGTCACTACACCTGGGGAAATTTCAGTTGAGGCCATTCCCAGGTCCGAGCGTTATGTAACCTTCCTACCCGGAGAACATATCCGTGTTCAGGGCTACTATGGAATGTAATATAGTCCCTGTATTTAGTTTTCTCATACTTCCTATTAATCACGTATGTTACCTTTAGTTCCTTTATTATTCCTATAAATTACACACATTTAGTAATAGTAATTGGGCACGCAGGACTTAGAACGATTCCCTATAAAATGAGGGCTTCTCAGTTAGTGAGAGAGAGACCCCGGGAGATCGTCGTGACTGTCCCTGCCTGCGTGCCAGATTGTAGCCCGTCAACAAATAAAGATCTTCATGAGATACCATTGATGTCTTCGGTGTTTTCAAGTTTGCTACCCGCTCAGAATTAAGTAACCAACCGGGGTTACAAGGTGGTGGAGAACACGGTTGATTCCTTCTCCCGCAGCCGAGCCAACAGCAACGTCCCCGCATGTTTTCCAGGCCAGAAAACTATTGGTCGACGCCGTCAGCAAATACCAGGCACAAAAAGGCAGGTGAGACACGTACATCGGTCCCGGTAAAAGAGCCAACGTCTCCACCGTCGGCACATACCTCGCCAACTTCTTCTCGCTCAGCTTCACCAGCGTTATCGCAACTCAACGATATCATCGACCCCACCGTAATTCAGCCTTTAGACAGCAGCGTCTCCGACNTCTGTGTTCAGGGCTACTATGAAATGTAATATAGTCCCTGTATTTAGTTTTCTGATACTTCCTATTAATCACGTATGTTACCTGTAGTTCCTTTATTATTCCTATAAATTACACACATTTAGTGATAGTGATTGGACACGCAGGACTTAGAACGATTCCCTATAAAATGAGGGCTTCTCAGTTAGTAAGAGAGAGACCCCGGGAGATCGTCGTGACTGTCCCTGCCTGCGTGCCAGATTGTAGCCCGTCAGCAAATAAAGATCTTCATGAGATACCATTGATGTCTTCGGTGCTTTCAAGTTTGCTACCCGCTCCCAATTAAGTAACCATCCGGGTTACAATGTCATCAAACTCGGTCCATAACTTTTTGAGTTATGTTGATGACAGACAAACAAACAAACAAACAAACAGGGGTGAAATTAAGACCTCCTAGGCGGAGGTAAATATCAAAACCGAAAAAGGATAAAACTTCAGTATTTCTATCTCATCGCATATATTAACTGCCCTGCCACCACCACCCTTCCCCAGAACATATATTTAAACTATGGAGACAATCATATTTAACTTTATCTCGAATGGGAAAAGTGACAAAATAAAACGAGCAACGATAGTGATTACGAAAATGGAAGGGTAAAGGTACCACAAATAAAAAAATTTGCTAAGGCACTTAAACTTTCATAGCTAAAAAGATGGGCAATGATCGTAAATTACAATTTAATTGATGAGCAATCATCTAAGGATATGCGTCTTCGTATTTCAACTGTAAGGTTAAAAACATTAATAGGTAAATTTCCATTTCTATCCGTATATGTACTACTGCAGTTGTACATACTGTATTTATACCAAGAGAGAGGGAGTTCATGTGTTGAAGCTTATGTGTGTGTGATTCATAGGCTAAAAATTAATTGTACGATTGCATTTTGTTTGCTATGAAATAAAATAAAAACAATCAATATATTAAATAATTAATTGATTGATATGTTTGTTTGCTTGTTGTTTTAATCTTTTTATCTACTAATTAGGAGACCAGAATTGTGCCGGCAGGACCGTACAGCAGAGAATTGCACACTTTCTGGGCAAATACTTGTCGACTTTTGGTGTATTTGTCTTCGGAGTAGGCAGCCTCATCTTAGCCAGTCTTTCTGTTGCGGAACAAGCAGTATGTATGCACGTTTATCTGAACTTGAGTGTTGGCGATTATAGTTTCATTACTGCGGCACGAATACAGCAAGATCTCAGGAAATGGACTATCGTGTATGAGATGACCAAGGTACTGTTCTTCACAATTCAGCTTACATTTCTACTAACGGGGTATAGCATGAGGAAAGACTTTGTTGCAACCGCAGGAATCATAGTGACTTTAAGTGGCAATTTAGGCGTTTGGTGTCAAACTTTCCTTACGAGCTGCAATATAATGGCCCACTCTGCCTACGACCCCTTTCGCTATATTAATTTGACTGACTATTCACTACAGAACGAAACCAGGGAGTGTTTCAACAATACGACGCCAATGAACCAAGCCATGAATTCGAACGTTCGACCCATGTTGTTTCCATTTACACTTGAATTCACCCTTCTTGCAACTAGAATGCTGTTGGATCTATGGCACAGCAGTGAGGCCAACACTACTAGTGCCCGTGGACCGGCCGCGGGCGACTTGCATAGCACTGGTCGATCTAGTGACGATTCCGGTTCAATTGGTAGCGCAGGGCAACAGTCCATCAATGATGAACGGCAAGCGGCTAGTGTTGACCATCATGACCAGGATGGGCAAAACCCGAATGGCGGTACATGTGCGCGCAGGGCAAAAGATGCATTTTTTACGTTTTATATGATTTTCTCTCATAACAATTTTGCGGTGGTCGCTGTTATAGTATTCGTTGCCATATATTTTGTCGTTCTAACCATGTATCCTGAAATTAGTTCTTTGGACCCAGCAGAGGCAGAAACATATGCTGTGATTATGATAAGTTGCAGATTAGCTTTTTTCGCATACAACACGATCGTGTGTCTTGTCTTCGGTATAGTGCTGCTCCGCCAAAGTTATGCCCACGAACACAGCAGTCGCATCTCAGACCAATTCCTCGTCACCGTTTCTGCGGTCGGCGGATGGACTTTTAATTTCTTTGCCCTGACCAGCGAGTTTACTGTTTCCAACGCCATGGCGTCCAGAGTTTTGCCAATTCTAAGCAACTTTTTTGACATAATTCAAATCTTTCTCCAAGCTTTCCTGGTTCTGCACTGTCTTCGTTATCAGTACAATTGGAGTGACATCAAAGCGAAGGGTGTTTTTAGACAATCAGTCTCTTGTTTGATAATGACAAATTTTGGATGGTGGATAGTGGACACGTTCTTTGCGCTGAAGTATCACCTCACTCACGCAGAGATGTTTGAATTTTATGGAAAAGAGCTTTGGGGCCTGATTACACATTTTTCATACCCTCTGATCCCGTTCTTTCGCTTTCAGTGCGCGATGCTCTTTCTGAAAATATACCAGTCGGTTACGTAGCACCATCAAGTTGACAGGCGGTTGCATATCAATTGCCGGATCAATGATATTTAGGAGATCGGTGACTTAGGATATATACAGGTACATGTACGTAAAGGACCACATTGAAACATTTGTTATTATGATAATAGCATTTTTAATAATTTTGGAGGGAGGCATATATAATACCCCATGTTATAAATAAGATATGTTTTGGACATGATGTTAACCTATTATGAATATAAAAATGAATATGGTCAACATTTAACATAAATAAGGTGTTCTTGATTTTATTGCGACACATGTTGTTCTCATTGTTGAACCTTGTACATGAAAGTCACCAAATACTCAGTAGTGAAAAGTTATAATGATGCGATGTGATCGGTTAAAAAATTTAAACGGAAGGCAGCATGAAGCAAAATGACGTTGTACATGGATCGACAAAACATGCTTCATTGACTTCTAAAATGTCCCATTAAAAATGACTGGAAGGAGTTACATGTGAGTACTTTTAGCATAAGGGTCAAATATTTTATAATCTATCGTAAGATTGTTTCTTTTATAAAAGTGTTTAAAGTGTGAGACTCCTCAGGGAGATATATCGATCCAAATATCTGTAGGAATGGTCCCTTAGTGGTCGTGAATATAAAGTGGGTGGCAAAAAATGT